TTTAAATTAATGAGAACTTAATAAAGATTATTTGACTTATTAGTTATTTGCTATAACTTAATAAGTAGTTTTACTCATATTCCATCTAACTTAAAAAAATCCGGATATATTAAAAAGTCTAGGAGGGTAGAGTTTATCAGGCGGACCCTCCCATAATTATGATTGATATACAAAGTGATTCTACCAAGTCGGTGATCACCACCGGCTCTAACCCTACTAACCATCGAGGCATCTAATACGAATATACGCCCTTTATCCGCTATGATGTTCAGTTCCGTTTATCTCGTTTCATGTTCGAGCGTCGGGGCTCTGCCACGTCCATTTCCTTTGGGCTGGTTTTTAGGGTTCCGTAGTCCTGACAAGGGATCCTTATGGTTTCGTCATGTCCGTCCCCGGTTTTGCTTGGAGACTATTAGCACTAGAAAGCTGTAATTTTGTTGAGCCTATCGATCATGCGACAAAATGGTATTTTTTTAGGGTTGTTTTTTTTTCATCATCTACCCCATCATGTGGGATATAAAATATCCTTTAAAATTACTTGGGGGTTCCTAAGTCTATTTTTCGATTTAGGGATCCGTTAGCGAAATATTGAACTTTAAAGTGTTAAATTTTGATCAAGTAGAGCGCCCCTTCTAAAAGCTAAACTATTGGCTTGAAAAACCTGTAAAAATCATGATAATAGTGCTTTTCATTAAATTTTAAGGAAAACTATAACGGTTAAGATAGATTTGTTAGTTTAAAAGTAATAGTCGTTCAACTTTGGTTAAAGAAAATTTCTTACCTAGATAGATGAAGTTGTTGTTCCACAATAAAAAAAAACTATTTAAAAACCACAATAAAATATCATTAGTTCCACAACGCTACCGTGAGTACCAACGGCAACGGCTTCTGAGTTGAGCTAACGTTACTTTTTTTTAAAGTATCTATATAAACACTTGAAAAGATCGGCGTTTATACCGCGTCATCCCCTTCTCATATGATCGCTTCAAATGAAGCTTTTAGTCAGTAAGAGTCTGACATAAGCTTGCAGCCGGCTGTAGGGTATCCATGAGGAATTCACACCCGCTCCCCGACTGGGAGGAAACAAAAAAAACGGCGGTTATCATTGGCATTTATAAAAAATAATATCGAATTTGAGTTTGAGACGCAGTTTGACTCTGATTTAGGTATATTAGTTGAAATATATAGATTGATATTAATTGGTTTTACTAATTTCAGATATAGAAAATAAAGATTCCATCTCACATACAGGGTGGTCCAATTAGTGACGTCCATATTTTTTTTAGATTCCTCGCACCTGGGTAATACCGAAAATAATTAAATAACATTCAACTTCAATTTAAAAATACAAAAAGGAATTTCCATAGCTTTTGGCTAAGTTTAAAAACTCCGCAAGCTTCTGAACTACCAAAAAACCATAAAAAAAATAGTACTTAATCAGCCTATTTTTGTTTTAATTGGCCTACGAAGGCGGAAAGGCTAAAAATCATTGAAACACGATTAAAACATTAAAAACCATTTTATCTACTTTTTATCATTGGTATGGTAAATTAAACTTAAAAAATTAATTTCAAATAAAAAATTGAAATTCCTGTAAAATAACTTTAGCATGTGTAATTTTATAATAATTTCGGTTTCAGCACTAAGATTTTAAATGTGAGCAAGAATAAAAATCAAAATGGCTAGTTGGGAAATGACCTGTTTTTTTATAACAAATAAAAAGCACAAATTACTGAAAAAGACTATTTATTACAGTAAATTTTTATTTATTTATTTATTATCTTAGGGCAGCTAACAGCTTATGAAAATAAAGATAACAGCAAAAATATTACTAAAAGCTATTGACAAGCTACCACATATAGAAATCTGTACTGATTAAAAATCTAAACAAAAACACAGAAGCATCAACCATACAGTAATAACAGTTTTACATGAAATGTTAGTAGTGAGAGAAAACATAAAATATTACAATACGTACGTTACATAATAACTAACTATTCAGCTGAATCAAACTCATATTTATACTCTTGATGCTATTAAAAAAAATATCTATGTTGGTGTCAGCTTTATTAAGGGCTGAACATGCTCTAATAAGAAAACTGTTCTGTCTATAGTTCGTGCGAACAGAGGGAATACTAAACGGCTTATATGTATTATTGCGAGGTTTGATTTTGATGATGTTTTTAGGAGGAGGAGATGATTTTAAAACAACTTTTTAAGACGTTGTCATTTGTGTTTTTAGCTTGGAGGAAGGAATTTCCATTACATATTTGTAGTGAACCCTGGGGGTATTATAAACAGCCTTTGCGATAAACTCGACTCATAGAATAGTTATACCTCATCATCCGACTGTGTCTAAGTCAGTGCGTATGAGAGTATACCTAAGCTTTCGGTTATTTTAATATAATGGTACAAAACCTTTGTGTAGATTTGTCTACTAATCTGTCAGCAACTATTTGGAGGACCACAAACCCGACGTGACTCTGGAAAAGTTTATCTTCCTCTTTAAAGTAAACAAGATAGTACGAATCCAGCGTTATGGTATCCTCTGCCTCTCGTACGCGCCGTGTTATTTATTCATCGCACTTGCTCCGCAAACTGAAAAAGACGCTTAAACGAGTTGCAGAAAGGTTCTGCTGTACGAAGCCAAGGTCAAGTTGTAAATTTGTTTACCTATCATAGCCCGGGGATTCTTCGTACCTCCTGCCCCACTCAAAACTACGTGCACCATGGCCAGAAATAGTGGGTCTGTAGAAAAATGAAGAAGTTAAAAATTTAATGTCATTACCAGTGCCAGCCTAGAATTTCGTTGATAACCCATACTAGGATCGGAGTCATGATATGTGGTATGGTATGGTTATTTTAATTCAACCTAATAGAGTTAAATAACTGTGTAGATTATTAGTATCTTAATACAATTAGAAAAAAGTAGTTATCCTATTTCTGTTTGATTAAAAAATAACTTGTTTCATAAAACATAATATTATTACTGAGATTATAAACGAAATCTGACTATCATACAAAGAAAATGAAAAAGTGGACGGAGCGAAGAGTGAAATTCGAGAAGTAATTGGCAATCGTCGTGCGAGATTGGGTAGGTATCATTTACGCAGGGATGATTTTAATTTTAGATGCTGACCGATGGTCACCATTTCATCTATAAAGATAACATAAGTAACATCAATATCTGATTACTTACCTATGTCGTTTATATGTATAAAAATAGTTAAGATTACATTGTTGCATTGAACCGACCTTATAAAATTATTTATTCCATATTATTATTTAATAATTTATTAATTAATACTTCTAACAGTCTCACCAATTAGCCTAGCCACAAAGTATACGCGAGCATGTAGTCGTGGGGTAAATAAAAAATACAATACACCAAGCACGAACTTTGACAGATCCGTTTTGTTTTATTAACAGACCCGACAACTAACTCCTCCCCACCTGATTATAACGGTGGATTTGGGTTTTCTTAGCATTGATTATATCCCTCCTCTCTTAGGTGATGGAGCGGGTGATGAACAACGGCCTTTTGGAACTTAATGAGCATCAGGTAATTAACGTCCGACAATACGGTTTCCGTCACGGTCGTTCTTGACGGGACTGCGGAACGCCCCGCGCTTCCGTGCTGTTTGGCAAAATCTGCGCGCGATACTAGCCACCGCGCGCCGACTCTTGGCCAGTGTGTAGAGAAATGATGATTATAACATATTGTTCTTTAAATAAAGAGAAAAGAAGGATTTAGAGAACTTTATAAAAAATATATCAAAATGCATCCGGTGACAATGACGGATGCGGCGACGTTCAACGGAGACGACATTTTTACTTTCAGACTGAGTTAGGGTCCGATTGATAGGCCGGTGCCGGTGTAATAATTTTAGTTAAAAACATTAATACTGGATCCATTCAGTCCAACATTATTACTAAAACATAAAGCATTCTTTAAGGCTGTTTAGCCACTGCACTGCACCCTGTTGCGTAGCGCGGAAGCGCAGATTTCAACGTGCTTTATGCAAGTATCTCAGTGTGTATAGAAATCCTGCGGCCCACAACACAAGTGACACTGACCAAGTGCCAACAAGCAAACTGCCAGCCGGAGCGGAAGCGCGAGGTATAAGGGCCCTATCGAAAGGGTGGGTGTGCCCCTTAGTTAGGGTAGCAATAATTGCCGCAGGATTTCTATACACACTGAGATACTTGCATAAAGCACGTTGAAATCTGCGCTCCCGCGCTACGCAACAGGGTGCAGTGCAGTGGCTAAACAGCCTTAAAGAATGCTTCATGTTTTAGTAATAATGTTGGACTGAATGGATCCAGTATTAATGTTTTTAACTAAAATAAAGTGTTATAGGCTATATATTTAAGTTACAACAAGTAGTTTTTAGGTTTTATTTGTAAGCTGTAATTCAGCATGGATATAAATATAAAACATCGATGCCAAATAATCAAAGCAAATGGTCCGCTGCCTGATGTTAAGAAAGACAAAGCGCAAAGACTTTTTACCGTTTACGTTAGATAAAGGATTGCTTTAGAACTTTTTTCCTTCTGTTCCTGATTTGCAGTGCAGGCCCTGCCAACTCTATGGTCCGTCATGGTTTAGTATAGTAAAGTCCCTTTAAATGCTACCAATGCATATGCGGTATTTCATGTAAGAAGATAAATATTATAAAGTACGATAATTCTAAGAGGAATTAATGTTCTCTACCCGCGAAATCAATGATTTTTTTCCTTATATGATATGCCTTAATATTTTTTTTGCGTCAAATACCTAATAAAAAGAACTTGAAACTGTTAGAACTACTGTGTATCAATTTACTAAGAAAAACTTTGTTTTATAATATTAATTGACGCGTCGACGCAGTCGGCGGCCACTGCGGCGCTTCTGTAAGTAGCCGCCCACGCTATGTTCCCACCAATGGGAGAGCGGTAGGGCGGAGCTTTTACAGGCGCTGAATGTTTTAAATTTGAAAGCCCCTTTGCAGCCGTCAATCGAGTTATGATTTCAACGCGAACATGACACGTTTCGGTGTAGAAACCAAATAGTCATAACATTGTTTAGACACGGCAAAATGGGGCAGTGAGATTATGACAAGGACTTAAGTATTTTTGAAGTTTATCGAAATGCAAAGTGAAAAGACTGGAAGTAGCGGTACCGGTGTTCGGAAAGCTCTTAGGACCCCTAAGTGTGCGAGGTGCCGAAACCACGGGGTGATCTCTTGCCTGAAGGGCCACAAGCGACTATGTCGGTGGCGCGATTGTCGCTGCCCTGGCTGCCTGCTTGTATTAGAGAGGCAACGAGTAATGGCTGCACAGGTATTCATTTATACGTTCTTCTTGAAATAACCCAGTATGTTAACAGGAAAATGAGAAAATTACTTTTATGGTTCCGAGTCAACCCTTCAGTTTGGCCATGACCGTCTATCCGTCCGCAATTTAGATCAGAGACTAGTAAGATTAGTGGGTATAAATAAAAGGTCCAAAAAGTACTCGAGAGCTGCAGAATCACATAAGAGGGACAATCTTGCACCTTGTGAAGTATTCCCACCATACCTGAGCTCGATATAGGGCCGAACGTCTAGGGCAACAAAAAAAATTCAGCAATCGGCCATGACTTTTGGTCACGTTCAAATCGTCAATATTTAGAATATGAGCTACTGGAGGATTCACGTAACATCCCTTCTCAATGTCTGACGCGCTCGAATTTTTTTCCTATATTCTATGATTCTACCCCTTCGTACGGCCACCTCCACAGCGTGTCAAACGTTTTGACATTCATGTTTGGTCTAGTTCTACATCTAGTTTGAATTAAATCGAGACTACGTTACGGGGCCTGCGTTGATAAGAGCATACGCCGAAGCTATTCAAGCATCTATGGAATCCTACAATCCGACACGTACTTGACCGGATATTAAAAAAGCTTTTATTTACTTTCTCCTGTCCGATGTCTGTCTGTAATTAAATCTTGTGGCACACTTCCCGGTTTCGGATTATGCTGAAATTTTGTATGCATATATCGCGTGAAAATGCAATATTATATGGTAACATGGAGCTGATCTGATGATGGAGCTACAATCAAATTTTGACTTGACGATTAGGTACTTTGGTCCTAGATAATATCTATAAGCAACCTCGTCAGATTTGGGAAATATAATACTCGCAGTTCCATTTGTTATGATGTGAATTCTATTTATTAAAATATAAAAGCTTGATTTTAGGGGGCTGTCAGGGGAGGCAAAAGTCCGACATATTTTTTCGACAATACTAATAAATTAGTTATTTATTTAAAGAACATGCCTTAATTAAGTACATACTACTACTTTACTATTGCCAGGTAAATTACAATGTTGGTATACTTATTTCTTATTATGATAGGCAGATAGACGATATAGAGATTATCACTCCTGCGTTTTCTACCTTCGGGCTTTAGACGGGAAGACGGTTAACCATGCGTTAAAAATTTTTTTTGTTATTAACGGTTATTTAACCGCATTTTATTCTTGTTACGGTTAATAAGCCGCTGGATGGATTGAAATGCGCAGAGCGAGTTTAGGGGTGCAACCACTTTTTTTTCAGATTTTTCAATCTCATAGTTTAGATTTTTGAGGGGAGCGGAAACCCTACGAGAACATAAATTAGCGCTGTAAAGTCATAGATTAATGATTGGTCACCTTACGGTTGACTAGATACTCCCGGCGTTCAAGTCAAATGCGGTATCAAATACTACACCAAAGTCGGCCTACACGAGCTTTTACCAAGCCCAGTTACAATGACAATTGTGCAGTGGCGGCGCTAGTCGGCCACCGCCGACGGCCTCGCGCCTGAGGGGGCCTCGCAAAAAATTTTTACAAGTTACCTATTTATTTTCGTTTCTCCTGGCCTGGCTTAGGTAGCCGACCCCGAACAATTCGGGGAAAAAGCTAAGCAGATGATAATGACTTTTATTATTTTCGAACACGTGCGTGATGGAAGCGAGTAGTACTTTACGGGTATTCAGAATCGTCTGTCTGGCAACACTATTTTTGTAATTCAATTTCTATTTTTTAATTTTTTTTTGTCAATATTTGATTATCAGCAATAAAACTCGTTTACTCATACGTTATTTTATAATTTGGCTCACTTAATTTAACGGTTTTTTTACTGCGAAGTAAAATAGGCCTCGCGAACTTGATGTCGCCGACGTCCACATGTGGTCTAGCGCCGCCACTGCAATTGTGTATGAGCTGTACGTACTTGCTACGTACTAATCGAAGTAAAATGCCAGTTTTACGTGGTGAAATAATACAACAATAAATAGCAAGGACACTGTGTGAATCACATATCATTAATATGTATTTTATTATTTCGAAATTTCAACATAAAATAACATGAACCATAAAAGTCATTCAAGTGTCGCCGCGTGTACAAGAATCAAGTCTCCTGTGTTTTTGATTTTTTAATGTGATTATATCGTTTTGTGTGTTTTTAATTGTTTAAGTTTACGTTCAATGACTTTAAGAAAACAACAAACACAACAAAAAACCCTAAGAGTGGCCATACACGGACAGCTTGAAGCAGAAGGGATGGCTGCTTCCAGCTGCGACGGAACAGTCAACTACAGTCTTCTACGTACACACAATACACGGAACCGCTCGAGAAGTTCTACTGCTTTAGGCTATTAGCAGCGCGCGGTGAAATGACAGCATCAAGCTGTTGACTCTGACGGCTCCGTGTATAGATCCCTGTATATTGATCATCTGGCTAGCTGCTCGAGAAGACCGTGTATGGCAGCTCTAACACACTGCAGGTACACATTACTAAAGGATAGTGTTATTTCATTGCAGTCTTCTGGACGATGGAGGAGATTCCCCAGGAGAGCGCTTCAATAAAATATAAATCCTTACTTACGCCTTCAAAAATTTTAAGTGCCACATGCACCATCACTATTCAAACTTAAATGTAATTGTAAGGGTTAATCACTATCAATACTATTATACTACTGAGTAGTAGTAGGTAGTAATTGCTCCGTGGTGAGTTTAATTCTGTTCAACTTGTGTTTAACACATCACTCCATCTTTCAAATATATAAATTTTATTGAAGATCTTTGGTGCAAGTGGCAAAGTGTATACGATATTTCAAAAAACAATAAAAACAAATCAAGAAAATTGCGTAAAACATTGAATTTACAACTTTACTTAATTAGGATAGGTGTGCAGTCTTATTATCCGATTTTTGATCTCATCATAACTTGAGTTCGATTTCATTCATATGTTAGTTCTGTGTGTTTATGATCAATTCCAGCTATGTTGGTATCGGTACTTTCTAACTTGGCGTTGATGTTGATAGGTGGCGTTGAGACGTCAGCAAGGTGAACGCAGCAGGGAGCCGGATGACGCGGAAGCTGCGGCTCTGGCGGCCCGGAAGCGCGCCTACCGCGCGCGGTTGCGATGCATGCAAATGGCTACAGCATACAATGCACACACACCAATTTATGGTAGGTAACTTCAGTTTCTTCAATTGCGTTTCCAATGTATATAATAATAATTACAGTTGAATTGAATACGCAGAACGCTTTTAACGACTTTTGAAGAGGTTTAGGTTAGGACACATCCAATTATTAGGTCGATTCCAGCACCCGGCTAAGGAACAACCTCTCCACCTCAAAGAAGACCAAAGTAATGTAGTCAAATTTATCATGGCCCAACTGGGACAGGGATTTAGTTTCAGTCAGGCCGCCAAAGTGAGAATCGGAGCAGCGACACATTTTTACCACATCCATTGACATCTTCGCAACTGATCACCGCACCCACTTTCCCCCTTATTAATAAAAGCCTAAGGCCTGTATTATAGAAAGATTCTCAGTAATTAATCTAGTCTTGAGCATAGGTAGAAAGGGATGTCGCTATATATAACACATAGCGATATCCCTTTCTAACTGTACTCAAATAAAGATCTATAGTTGTCATTCTATAATACGGGCCTTAGAGCATTGATATTATGTTTTCTTCATATCACTGAAATGCCATTTATAATTCAATAAACAAACACATAACATGGAGTAACTAATGCAAGCTTAATCTTAAAAGGGGATTTGAGTTTGAGATAAGTTATTAGCTGAATTAATAGCTAATTAGCTGAATTAATACTAGTGTAATAGGCACCTAAGAACAACTACGCTTTTTTATTATGGTGCGCGTGTTTGGAGAGTGGTTAACATCGCACCGGGCGGGGCTGCGGACAGCACTCCGGTCTTTGTTATTGTTGTAAGTGAGTCGACACTGTCGAGTGTTTCGTTTCTCACCCGTGAAACGTACAATGCGAATTAGCTGAGTCAATATTTATTTTGGAGCGGGAATGAGTTAAAATTATAGTGGTTGATTGATGCTAACAAATCTACCCACTTCCTTATAAGTACATACTTGTATTTTCAAATGGATATAACTTTTATTTCTTTTAAATAGTAATTGGATCAGGAAATGAAGAAGTTCCAATGTATTTTTATTGGCAACCATGCCCAGTGGCAGGGCAGGACCAGAACACTAAGGAATGCCATTATTTGGATACAGACATTTGATAAACTCTTGGCATAAATAGCATCTCATACTTCATGAACTTCTACTACCGAACTACCTATCGGTATAAATAGCATCCCATACTTCATGAACTTCTACTACCGAACTACCTATCGGTATAAATAAATAGCATCCCATACTTCATGAACTTCTTCTACCGAACTACCTATCCATATAAATAAATAGCATACCATAAGTATGGTCATCTAATAACTTAAAAAAATAATATTAATTAACAATACAAAGGACATTGGGCAAAAATGTATGGACGCTGCACCCACGTCCGCCACGGCTTAAACTACATTTGTTTGAAAGGTATTATAGTCGTGATCATCTGTGCCAAAGCGCATCAAATTCCATCCCGGGGGTCTTTAGTTATTTTAAGTTAAATATGTACAAGTACTATAACGAACGAACATTAATGAAACAAGTGAATTAATTTAATTAGTTAGTTCGACCCTACAAGGTGCTCAGGAATTATGGGAGTACATCACAAGGTGCAAGCCTTATGTTATTCTACCGCGACAGAGTAAATCCAAAAATCCCCGCTTGGGTTGGGTTTTTTTTAAACATTCTGTTCGTTATAGTGAATTGTCTTCTATGTAAAACGGAACGACCACAGATTACACAAACTTGGCCACGCTTCGGAGAACACATGGTTCCAGTTCGTCCATACTAATTGACAAAACCGATAATCGTGTTCCAATATCCAAAGCGTGTTAGATAAAAATCAATCAAGTAGCAGGGAGCGCACAATCACAACGAAGTAAGACGAGTCGACTATTTGCAACTGCAAATCCCTCAGCATCCGTAAACAGTTTTGAAATGTCTCAGTAAAAGCAAGTGCAGGATGGTCGACAGGCTTTGTCGTATATCTGGTTGTATAGTACGATATGGCATATTAGTATGATTAGTAATTATATAAAATGAAAGTACTATAAAAAGAATTTATTCAGCTACTTAAATATGCCCATGTGTCACATCTATTGACTACCAGGATATTTTTTACGGTGACATATCTTTTGACTCCCAGGATATTTATTTTCGGTGGCATAATAAAAAAGGCTAGTTTTTTATAGATCTTTCGATTCATACTAATTACATTGTTGGCGGGGCTGGGTGCGTTTTGCCCATTGTCCTTTAAACATAGTTTTTATTTTGAGGAGCTCGATGGCGCCAGTGGTTAGCGCGTTTCGCTGCGATCGTTGAATTTAAGCAACTTTCGCAGTGGTCGGTCATTGGACGGGTGACCGAAAATTTACTATCTCGAGCTCCTCCGTGCTTCGGAAGGCACGTTAAGCCGTTGGTCCCGGCTGCATCTGCAGTCGTTAGCACCCACCAACCCGCACTGGGCCCGCGTGGTGGGTCATGGCCCAATCACCCTATTCCATCCATAGGGAAGGCCTGAGCTCCAGCAGTGGGGACATTAATAGGCTGATGATGATTTATTTTGGTCACTTAACACTAACTTCTCATTTTTTTTATATTACTTATGCCAGACGACATTTAAGTCTTCGATTCAAGTGATCACCCCTACATTATTAGTATAAACTTTTTATTTTTGTGTGTTTACCAACTTATATTGTAGTTATTATATAGATAAGTACAGCAAAGTAAAACAAATAGCAGAGCAGCACTTAAATAAACGTATCAAATAGCGACATTTGTTGAAAGAACCAACAAACATATTGCATTTTAGAACAATCAAAAATAGAGCATCGTAGACGTAATAAAACATTTGAGCTGTTCTTGAAAATGTCCCCGCTTCATTACAGAACAAAAAGCTGTCATTCAACTCTCGGCAACATTTCACTGTCTATCAAAAAAACCTAAAATAATTTCTTTTAACTATTTTTATGGGCTCTAAAAAGTGTAAAAGATAATTTTACAGGCGAACGCGGAGGCGGCTCTTTGAGACGGTGTCGGGTTACGGTAAAGCTGTTGTCTGTAAACATGTCTTTCCGCTCGTTGAATGATAGCCCTGTGGGTGCCAAAACATATTGCCCGTCTTTACTAAATTTCAATATTTAAATTGTTTTACTGAGACATGATTTGTTTCTAAATCTTGTATTAGTTTTGACTTCTCGAAATAAACATTTCAGAGCACTTAGCAACATTTGATAGGTACCTACCTACCTTGTAAAATTAATTACTTATTTGATGACCTCAAGAATTCACAGCATTTCACCTCCTTAGATTGATTTCTGGAATAAAAACTATTAAATATGTCCTTTTCAGGGACTCAAACTATCTCTATACCAAATTTCAAACAAATCGGTTCAGCGGTTTAAGCGTGAAGAGGTAACAGACAGACAGACACACTTTAACACATTTATAACAATAATATGGATATTAAAAGTGAGTGAGTATATTTATAAAAGAGGTATATATAGTAAGTGAGTAAAGGAGATGGTTCAAAAGTAGTAGTCGGTTTCCGGCAACGATAAAACATATCGCACCTCCGGTGCGACACTGTCACTTATGCAAAAAAATCATTTTTTCAGGGGAAGCGTTTAAAACTTTAACATCCCAAAACATACAATATTTAAAGTGTTTTTTTAATTTTTTTTAGATGAATAGCTAAGTAGTATAAGCTTTTCATCACGTAAAAATCTTTAAATATTGTATGTTTTGGGATGTTAAAGTTTTAAACGCTCATCCTGAAAAAAAAAATGTTTTTGCATAAGTGACAGTGTCGCACCGGAGGTGCGATATACTTATTTGAAAGCTTATTTTATATTATTACATGAATAGATACTTTTAATATTTTATTTATCTCCGATTAATTTTAAATCGTGTTTATGCTGGCCACCCTGTCATAATTACCGTCATATTTTTTTGCTTTATTGTGTCGACGATGGCGGCGGCGCCGAGTTAGGGGGAATCCATCGGAAAGTTCTCCATCATCTCCCAATCCCTGCCGTCACGGCGACGTGGCGAGCAGTTGCTCCGTCTACCGTGGTGATGTTGGTGGCATGCCTGCCTGCTTCGGCGTCAGCTATCGCCGCTTTGGCCATCTCCTTTTCAAGGAGCGTCATCTTCCGTAGTTGGTGTGGTAGTCCGAGTGTCTGAGGGCTGGGTTTTGGGGTAGAAACGTACGTATATCGAGGCCAAGAGGTACGATATTCGCCGTTCCCGCCCTAAAACCCTTTCGACCTCATCCGTTGTAATGCCCAGGGTCAAGTATGTCTCATGGTTATCGCCACCGACTGAAGTCGCCCTATTTAGCTGTCTAACACTCTGGAGCCGCGCTATGTCCCCGTTGTATCGGGGTACGAAGAGCACCGCGCGGTCACGGGTCGGCACGTCGGCGTCGGACTGTCTCATCACCGTCAGTGTGGCGTCTGTTTTTGCAGTCTAATTTTGAGCACATTCAAGGTCAGCCAGGTCAGGACACTGTCAACCTCGCACCACATCTGGACTGTGCCATTCGCTACCAGAGGGTAACCGCGGTTGGAAGGAGTCAGCGTCCATGACGTAATCTTTGAAGCTGGTCTTGGTGTGCTCGGCTTCGTCTGTGGCACGGTAATAATATCATACAGTATTCTATCTTCATACAAACGGTCGGAAAGCGAGTCATACCTACGCCACTCGAGTTCGATGTGCGCTCGGCGTGCACCCAGTCGCGAATGCGCCGCCGCGCCGCGCCGCAACGACGACCGAACGGTCTGAATTGTTTTTTATGCAGTTAGCCGTGCTTAAACGTGCGTTTTGTATTGTAAATATTTGATTTAATTAAGTAGATACCTACATAATTTAGTATGGAAAAGAACAAACGAGGATCAATATCGTACAACAGCACAATTGCTGTTTTTGGTTGCTTGAACTCTTCAATAACACACCCAGATATATCATTTTTTAAATTACCTGATATATTGGAAAGGTGTCTTACCTTTATAGAATATTTTTTATATACCTATCTACTAGTACGTTATTTGTTTCTAATATTTAGGTATTTCGGTTTTTCCATCGGGTAAATATCTGGAATAATATATAAATAAGTGGTTAGGATGAAAAAAGAGACAAACGAGTAATCTACCTACACTGGCGTTAAAAACAAAACTACATAAAATACTGTAGGCTGGCGGCCCTACCGCGTGCCAAAGCAGCGTTCGGTGTAGGCATTTATTTTCAAGGACAGGGGCCCAATTCTCGCGGCATAGATATTATATCACCTTCGATATATATCGAATGATCTGGCTTTTATCGAAGGAAAACCTTTTTGCCCTATTCTCACTATGTCGCAATAGATATTTATCTACGGATGATCAGTAGACATACATCGACTGGTAAAGAGCCTTCGATATATAAATATCTATGGATCTTGGCATGTCAATCTTGTTATTTCCACTTTTTTACCTATTATTTATTGTGTTGTCGTGTGTCTTTGCCAATTATTGTTACCTCAAGATGTTGTTAACTGCCTTCATAAATAATTAGTAAATAAAGAAGTAGGTAAACAATGGTGTCGATTCTGGCGTGATTCTCTAAACTTAAAACTAAATTTAACATCAGTCGCTCTTTTTCATTCTGTATAGAGAATGACAAGGAAACACTGTTGTCAAGTTTAAGTTTAGATTTAGAGAATCGTGCCAGAATCGACACCAGTTTATATTAACGATGGATGAGTTGATTCATGTTTTCGTCAATGATTTAATAAATGACGTGATTGCTGCTGCTGTGCTCAGGCGCCGCCGTTGTGAGAGCAAGAGGGCGCATTTGAAATGAGGGACGCCGACTTCATAAACACATTACGTTTAAACAAAAATTTGGTTAGAAATCTATAAAGTTATGAATGACATTGGTATCGACTCTGACACGATTCTCTAAACTTAAAACTAAATTTAACATCAGTCTCTCCTTTTCATTCTGTATGGAAAATGACAAGGATATCCTGTTGTCAAATTTACGTTTAGGTTTAGAGAATCATGCCAGAATCGACACCATTTTCTTATTGACGATACGGTGTTTTTGGCGGGATTTCTGCGAGTGCGGTTGGCATCTTATTTAAATTATTCTAAAATTCGTTCATAGTGGATATTGTGAAATAAAATTGGTGTGATTTGGTGTTACAACCGTCTGCGCAACTGAAGAATTAGTGGAATCTTTAAAATATACGCTATTCCGGTCAAGTGGACGCGAGAACTTTATTGTAGTGTTGACTACCTCACAGAAGCTTAGAGAAAAAGACAACTCCATAAATTTCATGCCAAACACTCCAAGAAACATTAAAATGCGTCACACCGACATTCGAATGTAAAAAAAAGAAGATTAATATAACTAAAGACTAGGTTGTATGGGCATTGTTCCCTTTGTCTTCCCTGAAAAAGGAGAATCTTAAATAATATTGACGTTTCATTATACATAACGTTGAAATTTTAAACGCATACAATTTCAAAGTACAATTTAGGTAAAGTTGAGATTTCTTATACTCAAAAAATGTATACTCATATTTAATATGAATGGAATTCATAAAATACAAAATATCATTTTGTTGCTTGTAAAATTCTGCTCTAATTTATTATTATTTTATATAGACTATGATGTTAACTTAATCGAGAAAAACGGAACGCATTCGGCAGTGAAAGAATATCTACGATAGATATAATATCATTGGAATATCGAAAATCCACGAGAATAGCATTTTTTATCATCAGTAGATATTTTCAATAGATATCCCTCCTTTCGATATTATCTCGAAGCCGATATAATATCTACGCCGCGAGAATTGGGCCCCGGGCGGAGTCACAATACTGTATAGATAATATTACCGTGTCTGTGGTTAAGTCGCTCGATGAAGGCGGGAGGCAGATCGCTACGGCAAGCCGCTCAGGAATATCCTTAGTGGCTCGCGCGTAGGTTCTCTGCTCTCCTTTACATATTTTCGATGCTAGCAACTTGTATATTATGTGACGTCATATTTGTATGCAAAAGGTGCGTAATGGGATCGTGCATTAAGTAATTTGAAACAATTAGATTAAAGTAATAGCACACATACATGTCAACTTGGAAGCGGATCAATACCGACTCGCCTTTCGGCTTGCCGTCAAACAGGCGTCCACCTACATTTAAGCCTATTACAGAAAGCATCCGCAACTTCAGTATGTCGACTCGGCTACGGCTAAGCGACGCCGCGTATACGGCTCGCAGGCCGCTGGTTGCCGATTAGGCGGCCATAGTTCAATCAGTTTAAATCCGAACGTAAGTCAGGGGGAAGCGGGAAGGGAAGCTAGGGTACGGAGAGACGTAAACGCGGGAATTGCAAGTTGACCACGCACCGCGGCTCGGGAGCTTGTCCCGAATCGAGACGATTACGTTACGATTCCGATTAGAGTGCGTTGCAGTATGAAGTTTTATGCAAATAATACTGACCGGCTCTTGATACGGTGACGATCCCTTTGCAAGTTGATATGTGCTTTTTTTTATCGACGCACTTACACACACGCAAACACACACACACATTCTTTGTGTAGCGCCACAGTAGCCCGGCGCGAAACTTAAGAATACAAATGATTCCCACGTATAATATTTTGTAATATTACTTGTTTGGGTGTACGGAATGCGTAGTTTTTGTCTTTGTCATAAGATTTTTTTACACCCTGTATAAGTACCTGCTATAAAAATAGAATTGTATTTTATAGAGAGGGGTTCTTTGCTCTGTCATTATTATCCTGATGAGTCATAATCTTAGATTATAAGAAAAAGAGAAGATACGGCACTCGCGACTCAAAAGTGATCCGCTTAAATTGTGGTGCATGACCATAATTCGCTTTAGACACAATTGGACATTCAAACACGCCGCATGTGCACTCAATATAACAATATTGCGTATATTCTGTGTTATGAAGACAAAACAATGCCTGCGATGCTTTTATATAGAACAAAAATAGTTCAAAATCAAATAAAAATATTTTCATCTAAAAAAAATCGTGAATGTTATTTACGTAATCGCCATTTTGTTATCAAGAAAAGGATAACAATAAGTTGAATGTTTATATACAGACGTGTGCGTGTGTGTGTTGCTTATGTAGTTGAGTCAGATCATATTTTATTTGATATGATGCTAGTATGAGCGTTCCGTATCTACCCTTTTTGTTTTAATCTAAGGTCATAATAGGGCTTTAGGCTTATACCTGCACAGGGCCAGATTTAGAGGTATGGGGGCCCTGGGGCAATGAGGGAGTGGTGGCCCCTGAATCTATGCCGACGATTTGCAACCCCCTCCCCCCATGCTTTTGTTCACCCGGTTGTTGTTTTTTTATTACTATTGCCACAGCCCCGCCTGCCCTGCCTATATGATATTATCTTGTCAGCAGGTAACGTGAGAGTAGTGGGAGACCCGGCGTGGAGCGAGCGCGTCCGCCGCCGGCGTGCGTTCGCAGACGTGGAGCTCGAACGCGGCCCACCAGCGCCACCTGCCGCCGGCTCTGCGCCTGCGCCGGCCGCCCTACTTTGCCGGCACTTGCTCGCTGCTATACTCACTAACTTCACACCTACGCCGACGCAGACTCAACCACAGAAGCTGTCCTTCTCCATTGAATCCATAATAGGAGTAAAATAACTCAACGCGATTGAATCGCTTCTTCCTCGTAGTCAAATTAGTTTGTCCAACAGGAATATATTTTCCAGGTGGTCAAATCGTCCACGTGGTCTAACTGGGTAGTCAAACTAATTTGCAATTTTTCCAGTTGGTCAAACTTTTTGGAATGGTTTCTTTTTATATTTGGCATATAACTAAACGTCAGTTTATCTAGAAAATGATCAATACTTATTTAGTTCCAAAATTAAGTTGTGTTTCCTAATAGAATTTTACGCTTGACTGTATTTTCCGCCATCAAAGACAATTTCACTATCTGGAGGAATTATTCCTGTTGGACAAATTAGTTTGACTAGAGAATTTGTCCACGTGGCCGAAGCGGATTGAATATATTTTTATCCTCTATCTATATATATTCATGACTCGGCTGAGTCTGCCTGCACTGTGCCCCTCGCAGATTACCAAGATTTATATATTCGGTCAATTAGACCGTGATAGCGTGGGATTGGCAATAGATCGAGTTGAACAAACAGATCTGTTAAAAACTTCACTAACTTACAACTATGATAACTTAAAACAGATTTTAAAATCAGATATAACAAACATTTCTATTCAAATAATTAGAATTATGTAGAATCTCTGGAATAAGTGTCTTGACTTTACAGTAATTTGTACTGGACTGCATTAGTCTAATCTGGAAAAGAAGGGTCTTAGAGAAGCTGTATTATAAAATAAAACAAATAATTCGAACAATGAGTGCTTTATTAACGATGTTTGACAAAAAAAAAGTCTATTGTGTGGTTTTACAGATGAAACTTGAAAGGAAAATATCAACAAATGTTTTTATGTACATCATGTTATAGGTACTATGCACAGACAGGACGCGAGTTTATGAAACTATGCGTCGTGTGTTTTGGTACACTGTAACACAGTCATTCATCATACAGAATTTAAGTAGTAACTGCAAACGATACACTAATTACTTTTGGAGCTAATCCTCATTCCTGTAAGTATGGTTACGGCAAAAATATTATGTTTAATGAATACTGTTACATGTAAAATATTTGAAACTCCCGTTTATAACAATAAAATCCTTTTATATTTCTTTCGTGTTTTTTTTAATATGTCCATACCACAGGGCAAAGGTATACAATAAGTTTCCTGTTATAATTATAAATAATACAAGACCTATAATTAGACAACAATTTAATTACATTCATGTTCATAGTGACAGTATTTTATATTTTTACCAATACACTTTTAATAGTAGTGATTTGTAAACAGTTACAACCCAACCTGTTAATTTTTTAAGTCATAAAAGGCTTCAATGTTCACAAATACATTAGCATAAAAATACATAATATAATAAATATTTATAATGAAATTACAGAAAATATATGATCCGTCGAAAAACATTCATTATCCAGTGATAAAAGTAACTCAGTGATTGGTATGACTACTGGATCTGTTTCATTTATTGCACATTATCTATTCTATCTATCTTATATTATAACTTCATACAAAAGAACTCAAATTAATGAATAAAATTTCTTCCTCTAAATTTTTTTCTTGTTTAGAATAAGAAAATAGGAAGCCTTTGTATATAAAATTGCTTTATGCAATTAAATTGTTAATATTGACCACAGACTTGCATTGGACTTTTTTTAAATATTTGAAGTCGGAAAATATCAATACTAGAATTTATTCAAAACGTTAAAATCTACAAGTAACATGCATTTCTAAATTTTTTCAAAATAATTTGCGGAAGCTTGATCCATGATATAAAAGGTTTCCAGAATTGCATTATTATTAGCAACATCAATTGGTTATTGTAAGTTCTCGCTATCGACCTGTTAGATTACACTTTAGCAGGTGATGACCGCCTGCGTGTTTCTATTAAAGTGAGATCCTAATTGTAGTTTGGGGACAATGGTAGACTAAGAAAGAAAAAGAAAACCTGGAAATATTAAATTGAATTATCGTCTCTCACATTTTTGCAAGAATTAAGGGGATATTACTTATTTGATTTAAAATGCAATAAAGAATATTGAGCTAAATGAAATTATGAACCTATACGGCCTGAATTTTTAAGAGTTACTTTGATAATCTAATAAAACCGGTGTAATATTTTTTTTAGTATTCTTTAGTATGCTGTATGTAACTTATTGTGACAAGTGTCCTCAGTTACCTGTAGATCAAAATTAAAAGCCCGCAGTGGAACTTATGACGAACTATGCCAGGTTACAGTTTTATTAACGATAAAGCATTGTAATGCTTAATAGCTCTTGTACATTCGTAACATTTTTTTATAAACTACAATTAGTATAGAAAAGAAAACATTTATTAACTGTAGAATGTATGTATTTCGACGACAAGATTACAATATTATATCATATAGTTAAATAGAATATAAAGGTATTAAATAAGAACTGTAGAATAGTATAAAGTATAATGGATGTATAACATAAAAATATTTTTCATTGCAATCTACAATATATCGACAATGAATCACAAAATGTTCGTCCGTACAATACAACTATAATTCACAATACGCCGCGCCGCCTCGAGGAAGGGAGTGCCTCACGAATGCCGCATCATTCACTCACGCTCTCAAACCGATCACTTAATAAACTATTATCACCATTTCGTTTTTAGGATAAAAAAAAAACGATAATAAAAATCTTAAAAATTATTTACGACCGACGCCACCCGTAAGTTTTGCATACAAATTGTACCCAAAACCCTGCCCGTACTAGTTACACAAATTTATCATCAAATACGGAATCTGGTTTAGAAAATATGATCAAAATTGTTTAAGATCTATTGTCATTTTTTGTTATTTTCTTTATATTTACGCCTTAAAATACTAACTAATATATGCGTGAATCAATGTGAATATTTTAAAAACAAAAAAGAAAAAAACACTACTGAACTGAACTAAATTGAAAATTTATCCTCTGAATATATGTATTTACTTTCGATATAATACTAGATTTTTTTAACAAATTTAGTGGCTAGACAGGGTTTTGTTACATCTTGTACTATGATTGTACTTAAAAATAAACGATAATTTACGAAATTCACTGAATACTTCCAATTTAACAGAGATGTACCGTATAATTTTTCAGATAAACTATTTTCGAAGTTGTATGCCATAGTCGAAATTACAATAATTTCATATTTGTTAACCATGGATGGCTCATATAATCTTTTTTGATTGTATGAATCCAAATAAAATTAAGGTTAGCGGGTCATAAGTATGTCAATTTAGCGATGTAGAACTATGTTATTGTATGCGCGATTTTAGGTGACTGATATCCAAGAGTCTATTACAAATTCAATAATTTCACACCTCTGTTATTTTTACAAAATATTGATCACAAAAATACAATTTACTTTAAAAAAATTACCACTATTTTTCATCTTAAATTCTTTGAAAATTTGAACAAGTTAATGTCGCGTTTCTATTTGAGAAATTATGCATTCATACACATGCTGTCTGGGCAGGTGCGTGTGAACTGAGGGAGCAGATGGAATTTCTCAAAATAAAATTAGTAAGATCTATCAGTAGTCTTAAAACAATTGTAGAAATGAACTAAAAGTCTGGGAATATTAGGGCCGATTTTCAAAATTCTTTTTTGTAATCGCAATTGTATGCTCCCGAGGTTGTCCCAATTAAAAAAATGTTTTAATAAATTTAGTCTAAATTTTATTCCAACGTGTGGTATCCCTACTATTACTCTATTTTCGAAGGATTTAGAAAATAAAATTATCTCAGCTAATAGGTAACAAATGCATAATTTATATACCTATCATTTAGTAGTAATTTGCTGCTAAAGTTAGGGCCACTCGAGTTTCTAATTTCTGATATTCCTCTCGTCTCAAAGTTACAACGTGCACAAGTGTCAACGGACGAGAGGATTAAGGAATCAGCATTCATAATGGCTATGTTCAATTTGCGTTTATTTTTATTCATTTTTTTTACAATTTATTCCAAGACCACTACTAACACTTTATGTAGAAAAACTAAGATTATATTTGATTCGGTAATATTCACTAAAACATTAATCTTTCTGAAGGATCACTATTTAGTCGTTATATATTTTTTTCTTTGATACATTGTTTTTTGTGATTTAGTAAATATGGTTATTTTCTACTTAAGTCTGTAGTCACATTATCTCAATTTCATAGATACTTTTCGAGATCTGGCTGATGGCCTGTGAGCACTCAGGGACATCTCTTAAAGGCCTGTAGTTTTAAAAATATTTTATTATAAATCCCAGGCTAAGGCTAGACCATTGTAAAACACAATCGTTTTATGACTACTACTAAAAATTACTAGTTTTATTTTTAGAAATTCCATTTGGTCCCTCAGTTCACACGCACATTTCTGGGCTTCGTTGGCACGTGACAGGGAATGGGACTAGATAGGACTTAGGTTAGGAACCAACTGGGATTTTAGGGACCGAGGATGTACAATCAGCGTTAAATAGATAGAAGCTATTAAAGTGGCAAAAATCATCTGATAAGTTTTAATTCACGTTATATAATATGTCATTGTGTTCACTTGTTTACAATACCGGCAGGAGGTCAAATCATCTGCACATTAAAGAAAAGTAATTTTTTCCATTCAAAGTTCATTCAATAAAATTTAGGAGGCGATCGATGGCGCAGGGGGTTAGTCTGTTCGGCCTGCGATCGTTGAAGTTAAGCATCTTTCGCAATGGTCGGTCATTGGATGTGTGACCAAAAACTTATCGTACTGGTTGCATCTGCAGTCGTTAGCACCCACCAATCCGCACTGGGCCCGCACGGTGAGTCAGATCAGGGTTCAATCTCCCTGTTCCGACATTGGGGACATCAATAGGCTTATGATCATGAAAGAAAATTTCTCAAAATAAGTAGAATTATTTGTGCATTACGTCATTGACAATTGGCTAGTCCTGTTGTGTCTTTCTTCACGGCATTAAAAACAAAGCAAGTTAAAAAAAGAATGAACGACGAGGATGTTCATTTTGGCAAGTTAAATAATCATTATTGAAGTAATAACGCTCCATCAGACGATTTGACTACTTTAGATGCTTCGATATCTATCTAATGTTGATTGCACCTATTTGAGTATACATATTACATATCAATATTATGTACACCACAGAAAATTAAATGACAAAATAATAAATATATGTAATATTAATTCAAAGTAAAGTATGTGTCTAAAACCCCGAAATAAATTTAGATCCAATGGAATGTTACAATTATTTTTACATCCCCGAAAATGATACATTTCCACTGAACTACTATAGCTATATATAATAATAATAATTGTAAATAGACTAACGTTCGTTTGAACTACAAAATTTCAGATCCCCCATGTCTGAAAAACTAAAGGACAACAAATATTTAAAAGTCAGACTTTTTAGCATTTAAACAAAAAAATATAACAATTTTACTTGCATATAATATACATCACAATATGTATTTACATATACATAATATTACTTTTATTTAATATACACGTAAATATTACTTTATATCAATCATAATATAAGTCCCGAGGTGGATCGACATTAGGCGCGCGCGGAGCAGTCACCGCCGCATCCAATGAATGCCCACCCGCCAGGCAACACAAACATACAAATTCATTAAAACAAATATACAACGTAAAAATACTATTTGGTACTTTATATAGCAGAAATCTAGCCATCATAAAATCTATCAAAGGAGTATAATAACATCTACACGGACACAGACATATAAATATTAATTCATACACATATATTAGTCAAAATAAACCAGTCACAAATCACAGTTGACATAAATTCTCGATTTCACTAAGTCTTGTAATTTACAAATTAATAGTTAACACATCATTTAATACTAAACGTTTGAAAAGCCAAGTAGACACGCAAAATAAGTAAGTAAATGCTTTTTAAAGAAACATTTTGTAGAGATTTTTCGTAAAAAAAAGAACACTATTACGTGTGAAAGAATTATGTCAATGTTGTTAGTAAACGAATATATAAAAATGATAGTTTTGTTGAGCAGTACATGGCATCAGTCAATCTACACACTAAGGAAATATAAACAGCATAATATAGCTCTATTGCTGCAGTGGTACAAACGATTAACGCACTCGTGAAATCTGAATCCATGCAGACAATACAGTATTAATAATACCGATGTTTACAATATAAAGAGTTACATTGTTGTAAACATATCATGCATTAGTACTTAAGATATTAGTTATTAAATCGAGATGAGACTAAATCGCTTCGATGTACAATATCCAAAAAAAAATGAAATTAAATGTTACTGCTAATAAATCAATTTTAAATTTCTTTCGCCAGAAAAAACCGAAACAATCTTTCCAACGAACTGGTGTCTCACCATCGATATCACCATCTACGACCTATCCATAGGGTTCATGCAATTATAATAATAGACATTCCGACCACAATAATTCTATAAAGTTATTACGATTTTGTGAGTGAAACTACAACAACTACAGGCCAATGAGCGATACACTCGATCCGTTAACGAAAACGTAAACTGCACGTAAGCATGCAACGTGCTACACATAACATTATACACGATACGAATACAGTAAGCCTAGCACCCCGTGTGAGACCGTACTCATAGCCCGCCTACTGGTGTGCGTCTAGTGGTGCGACCTCGCTCGGTTCGTCGTACACTCGGTGCGATTAAGTGGAGTCGCCGCTTCAAACTTCAAATGGTTAACATTCAGGTACAAACGATACGAAACAGTGCGATAATTCACATGTAAATTTTTGAATAGTCCGGTAAAACAAACGTGTGTATAGCTAGGTGTTGGCACAATGATCGTTCCAGCGGCGACCGCGCCCGGGCGAGTCGTCCGGAGTGGCGCCCCAATGTCCACCCGACCCCTGCTGACAATGAACCCCCTGTAACACGACACCTGGCTCACTTGCGTGCCAACGCACATCTACCATTCCTACTAAAATTATAAACTAGCGGCCGCCCGCGACTTCGTATGCGTGGAGTTAGTTAGAAATGAAAGTTCACTGCTCGTTCTCCGTAGGTGATAGCGGGATAATATGTAGCCTATATGTTGACCCGACTTCTTAATAATATTCGTGCCAAATTTGAAGTAAATCCATGCAGTACTTTTTGAGTTTATCCCGGACATACATACAGACAAAGACTATATTTTTGGCTTCGGTATCGACACCCCAAGTATTCTTTTAAAGAATATTCAATGTACAGTTTTGACTTTCCTACCATTTTATTAAATGTATATGGATGTAAAAGTTTGCATGTTTGTCACTCAAACTCAATCACGCGAAAAAGGCTGAACGGTTTTGAGTGAAATTTGGTACGCATATAGCTTATGACCTGGATTGAGATATAGGATACTTTTTATCCTAGAAAATGTTAGGTTCCTGAAAAAACTAAAGTTAACGCGGACGAAGTCGCAGGCGGCCGCTAGTCTAACGATAAATCATTATTTTATGAAAATTGGGTATTCAACACTTTTTCAAGACCTCATAGTAAGTGTACCTAGTTGGCTTAAACAAATTTACGGGTTGCTAAAGTTTTTAGTGAAAGGGGAAAACTTTCGATGCCGCAAGAGAGATATGATGGCATTAAAAGATAACGTTTAAATACAAATGCTCCGACCACTCCTACTCCTTGTCATATTTGAATACAAAATAACTCGTGTGTGATCTGATCTGGTCAGTGTTAATTTTGTTTACACATAAGTGTTTTTTTAATGTGTATCCATTTTGTAAAGTAAATTATATTTCTAGGTCAACGAATTACAAATGATATGGAAGCATTACTGTCTAACAAAGGCTGCTAAAACATGGGTCCAAACCCATACAACTAAACTGGAATACTACCGCGACACACACCGAGACAAAACAAAATAATTTGACAAGTTATATATCTGCTAATGGATTTGGCTATCCATTCATTATAATGTTAAACGGAAATCCTAACCAATCCCATGATCGTCACTTTGATCGTATTTTTTCGCATTGGTCTAGGTATCTTAGCAATAATAAAAGTAATTTTAGGGCGTTATGTGACAAAAGTAATAGAATTTATTTTATAAATTTTTACATAAGGCAGTTGTCATAAAATGAAAATCACATGAGCCTAGATAGGCAATGAACATAGCCTGTGTTTAGGGTATCAGTCCTTTCTAATAGGTTACTTAAGATGACGCAGTAATAGGTAGTACAGGATAGCAAAGATATTAACATAATTTAACTGACTACAAGAAATGGTAAGAATACGCGTATGCGTGCGAGGGTGTGTGTTTGTGGTGTGTATGTAGGGTTGCCAACCCTACTATATTAGGGGATCAAATAGTATATTTCTAATAAAATATATAGTAGGCGAAACTACTATATTTTGCTTAAAGCAGATTTTTGCCAGTAAAAGCATTCTTGGAATTAAAAAAAATAATTATAAAGGCATGGAAGAGCAAAAATATATTCGTTTTAAAAATAAAGTAGATATTTTAACCGCATACTATATTTTTCCCCATCTTTTTGCCACCTACTATATTTTTAGAGGTAGCAGCTTTGACAATACTATATTTGTTAGAAAAAAAACATGGTAACCCTATGTGTATGTGAGCGTGTGTGTGTATGGGTGTGATGTAGGTATAGTGCGATTCAAATAAGAATAGGAAAGCCAATGATCTCCATCTGTCAAATGTCGCTTGAAAATTACGGTTTGCAAAAAAATCTTGGAACCCTATTTTAGCACAAACAATAACAAATATTGATAATTAATATTGTTTCATATTTTTTTTTCATTTATTGAGATTTGGCTATGAATGGTTGATAACCTAAATCGTCAACTAAATGTCACTTTAAGTAGCGTTCAGAAACTCGATTTAAAACTTTCGTTTACATAAAGAATGCATGTTCGTATGTGAACTAGTAATAGTGCATGATTATTCAAAGACGACGAGACTCAAAGTAATGCAGAGATGAGCGGAATTGAAGAGCTGGATTCTGATTATTGTTTTTTCTCACACAGTTTTAATAAATAAATATTATTAAAAATCGGTCTTTTTTCTCAACTTAAATAAATGTAATAAAAAAATCTGATGTTTTGTTTCTCACATAATCTCAGTTAATAAGTTTTATTAAATAAAATCTTTTTTATGCTCACTCTACCTTTTTGGTTTGAAGTGACAGCTATGACATCACAATATGACGCCCAGTCGATCCTATTTATATTCTTAGTTGAATCGCATTATATGTAGGTACTTGAGGAGCTCGATGGCGCAGGTGGTTAGCGCGTTCGGCTGCGATCGTTGTAGTTATACAACTTTCGCATTGGTAGGTCATTGGATGGGTGACCAAAAAAAAAATTCTTTCTCGAGTTCCTCCGTGCTTCGGAAGGCACGTTAAGCCGTTGGTCCCGGTTGCATCTGCAGTCGTTAGCACCCGCCAATCCACGCTGGGCCCGCGTGGTGGGTCATGGCCCAATCTCCCTATTCCATCCATAGGGAAGGCCGGTGCCCCAGCAGTGGGGACATTAAGAGTCTGATGATGATGATGTAGGTACTGACCGTGTAGCTTGGTAGGGCGCCTATATGCCGCACATGGCGGAGAGGCGCGCGCTCAGCTGCACGGGGAACTGGTCGGTGAAGCGCCGCCAGTTGTCCTCGCCAACCTAGAGATGCAAAAAAAAACAGTATTTTTTTCTGTCAGGAAAACAAAACGCGTTTTCTTAAGGGGCTTGTTTTTTCTTTCGTGAGTGTAGAACTCAAAATTATTAAGGAAGTTTCAGGTAAATATTAATGTTAATTATTGAAATATAGACAGATTAATAAAATTAAAGTTTATATTAAGTTTTCTGTTATTTTTAAACCTACTGCACTATTTTGATTGAAAATTACCGAACAAGCTTTCTACAATTGGCAACATTTATGTCGTACGGGAAAATCCTCGAATGCTCCGTTCGGTTTATGTTTGTTTGATGTATGAACGCAGTTAAGTGAGCGCATTTGAAGAATGTATTTTTTAAGCAATATTATCTGTGAAATCAGACATCAACTTACCTTAATAAAAGAATTAATTTCAAAATTTTCTTGGAAAATAAAACTATACAATAGGGCAGTGGTTCTCAAACTTTTTAAATGACGGAACCCTTTTGGGAAGCAAAATACTTGATGGAACCCTACAATAAAACAATTATTTTTATAAGTGTATTCTATATTAATCAGCATAATAAAAGTACAATGTATCCGTTACTAATTATTATTTACTTCACCACTTGGTAAGGACAATAATAGAAAACATTAAAAAAGAAAAAATCTAACTAGTGGGAGGTATGAAACTGTTTTTTATTTTTCATCAATTGCTTGATATCAGGTTTGATGGAAGAAAGTTGGAGTCTCATATCAGCTTCGGCGTCCAGTCTATTGCGATATTTTGTTTTCGTGGCTGCGTAGGTAGAGAATCCTGTTTCGCACAAATATGTAGTTGGGAACGGGAGAAGAATATCCAGAGCCATTTGGCCAAGCATTGCATATTCATCTTGGATTCTGCACCAAAAATCATTAAGAGGCGTCGTTTTGAACAATGACTCCATACTTGTGTCTGATGACATTTCTAAAAGAGATTCATATATCTCATTTGACATGTTTTCAGGCTTTTCCAAGTTGGGTAAAAAAGGATTATGAATCCAGGAGTTCACTTTAATTTTTGTATTGTGTTCTTCGGGAAAATACTTTTCAAAAGATGCGCGCATCGAACTGAGATATTGGACCAATTCTTCAAACACATTATCTTCAAACATTTCTGAGTCGTTTTCGCTAACAAACTCAGTGAGTAACGTAAAACTTTCTATTTCTTTCTTACCAATGCAAATGATCCAAAAATCTAATTTTCTTTTAAAAGTAGTTATTTTATTATAGGCCTGAAACACTGTTGTCTGTTTACCTTGCAATGATAAATTTAATTCGTTAAGTTTTTGAAAGATATCCGCCATAAAAGACAATCGGAACAACCAAGTTTTATCATACAAACGGTCCTTCAAATTAAAAGAAGTATCTGCTGAAAGAAACATTTGTAACTCGGCTCTAAGTTCAAATAGCCTTGTTAAAGTTTTTCCCCGAGACAGCCATCGCACTTCTGTATGGAGCAGCAGTGTTTTATGTTTGCTGCCATAATCTTCACACAATAATGAGAACAATCGGGATTGTAGTGGTCGTGATTTGATAAAATTAATTATTTTTACCGCTTCATCCATAACTAATTTTAGATTAGACGGCATTTGCTTCATCGCAAGTGCTTGTCTATGCAGAATACAATGACTGGAACTACAATTAGGCGCTTTATTTTTCATTCGTGACACTGCTCCTGCTGTTTTACCTGTCATCGCCTTGGCCCCATCTGTACAAATGTCAATGCAATTGTTCCAACTGAGATTATGTTCTTCAAAAAATATATTTATTTTATTAAAAATTTCTTCCCCGGTAGTGTTTGTAAGCAGCGATGAACACATAAGCATGTCTTCTTCAAAAGAACTTTTATATGGATATCTCACAATAACCAGCAGGATAGCCAAACCAGCGACATCAGTCGACTCGTCCATTTGCAAAGCGAATCGTGTATTTTGTAGACGTGTAACTAGTTCTTGTTTGACGTAGCTTGCCAGATCATGGATTCGTCGTGAAACAGTATCGTTTGATAGCGGAACAGTAGAAAGATGCTTTGCAGATTTTTCATCAAGCATACATTTTGTTATGTCTAATACACATGGTTTTATTAATTTCTCAGCGATAGTGTGCGCTTCACCTGCTTGTGCAATGCGATAGCTAACTAAGTATGATGCCTCCGTGGCCTTTTCGTTGGTAGTTTGTGTTACATGCATCATATTTTTTTGACTTTCTAATAACTGATCTTTTTTGCGAACAAAAAATTCTTTATTCTTGTCTTTAGTCTCGGGGTGTACGGTTTCTAAATGTCGACGCAATTTGGCAGGTGCCATGGAACTATTAGGAAGCAGTTTACTACAGAGCATGCAGAGAGGTGAGCCGTTGGAATCAACAAATCCGAAACTGATATAAGATTCATCATACTTCCTTTTTTTCGTCTTTGAAACCGTCGAGCTTGACGTCGTGGCACTCGTGGCATCATCTTCTGGATCGGTGATTGCTAAATTCTCCGCGCGCATTGCTTTTGAACATTCAGCGTCATTAGAAGATGTTGTTGGAACACGTTTAACACCTTTAAGCCAACGTTCCATTCTTCTTTATTTATAATGTTACAAGTCAGGATAGTGGGGTTTAAATAATGCACAATCGTTACTGCGTATAAGAGACTAAATTTAGAACCTACAGGGAAGAAATGTATAAAACTGAGACAACAGAATACAGCAGGCAGTAAAACAATGAACACCAGTTTCTCGCTAGCGAGCTTGTAAGTAGGTAGTAACTTATCGCTCCGAACGCTAATCATCAACTGACGACGCCAACGCGCGATCGCCGCTTTTATACTTAGTCCTAGACTCGATCTCAAATATTCTCGAAAATACTCGAGTCGGCACCTTTGATAAACAAAAAGCAAAAATAAAAACAGAAATTTAAAAATAGCGTTGTAAACAATATCGACTTTATCCTTTGAAGTTAGAGACGAAAGTCGCTAGTTGACAACTATAGCGTCTAATTCAGAGGCGGCTTTTATCAAAGAGACTGAGCGCTTACAAGTATACCTACCCGCTCGTTTTAAGTTTGCCGCTGGCGATAGGTATGAGTGTATGACGTTCGAAATTTTTTATTTAATTGTAACAATAAAAATTGTGTACGTTAGATATTTGGGTAAAACTATGACACATTATAAGTTTTGTTGTCACGTGGGGGAGGGTACGCGCATTCCACAGACCGGCAAACTTAGAGCGAACGCGTTGTACAAGTATAAAATTGTTGAGACCAAACTTATGAGATATTGTACCAGCTAATGTAACACAAGCTTATACAAATACAAATAAATAAATAAATAACATTCATAGCGTTTTGTCTCCGCGCGGCCGCGGAGTCCGCACAGCCGCGGAGCGACCAGAGAGAGGTGTTTTGATTTTTTTATTTCTAAATTCTTGCGGAACCCCGACAGAGGTATCACGGAACCCTAGGGTTCCGCGGAACACACTTAGAGTATAGCTGCAATAGGGTATTTGACAAGTTTTAGAAAACGATCTCACGTTATTTACTAATGTTTATAGAGTACATAAAAAGTGGATATTCATCATTATGTTGTGGTATTTCGGTGAAAAAACTAAATCAAAAACTCTATTTTCACGTTGCCGCGAAATACGTATCTCTGGACAATATGGCGTCTTACTGGTGCGTGACGTCATACGACTGTCATTAAAACGTCAATCCTACAATCTAATGTCACTTTAACCGAAAGTTTACTTGCGTCTGACGTTATTTTAGGCTCCACCAATTCCAAGCGTTTTGGGTCACGTGATAATAGACAAGAAAACTATTATCTTTATCGTAGGTTTAAGTAAAATTATGAATATTTTTTCTGTAAAAATAGTAAAAACTCCTGCCAATATTCATTCTAAATACAGATGCTAACAATTGGCACTTTATTTTTAATACTGTCAAATACCCTTTTTAGAAAAAAGCAATGATCCTAAGTATTTTCTTGTTTTTTGTCAACATGGTGGAAAAATAGTTTTTTTTTTCATTTTACATCACTCCACCCACCTTTTTTTTTTGTAACGCAGGCAAAACCTCTATTTACAGACGACGGCGCCTTTAAGAGGCACACCGCCGAACGGACCGCACAGCTGGCACCCGCAAGCTGTACGGGCCCCCGCAGTGGCTGCCCACTGAGGACCCCGTAACTCTTACGAGCGCTTTACGGCTTAATATCCACTAAAAACCCTGCGAATACCATCTAAGCTGTTTAGTGCGAAACCGCGGGATAACCGTTTAGGGATTCTTCCGCGTTATCACTCCACCCACCTGGTTCTTGAACCCGTGCAGAATCTTTGTGAACATCTCCTTGAGGTCCTCCTTGGGGTGCGACCACGACGCGACTGCGTCGCAGAAGTACATGAAGTCGGTCACCACGCCCTCCGGGTTCACGTGGATCATCTGGCAGATACCCCTGAATGCAGAGTCCTTCTCGTCATTGTCCCGAATGTTCCGCAGCGAAGTGCACCTGCGTTAAGGATAGTCTCGTTTGTGTGCGCGACCAACGAATTAGATATAATATGTAATTCGAACTGCGCTAAAAAGTGGTTCCACGAAAACTACAACCGAGTGGGCGGGGCAAATAACTGCGAGCAACACGTCGACCATGGGGTTGGTTGAAATTGCGTTTAACATAATCTTACCCTAAGAATGGATAGCCGAATTCATTTGCATATATTTGTTTTTTTGAAAGTATTTTGTTATGCCTGTGTGCGGTATCGCGTAGTATTGAAGTTTTGTGGTTTGAGTTTGGAACCATGTTTTAGCGGCCTTTTTTAGATAGTTATGCTTCTATATCATGTCTAATTCGCTGGCGCAACCCAATGCGCGCAACGAGCTTTTAGTTCACACGGTGATATTTCGAGATATGGTCGTTTCGTTTTATATTTGTATAGGGTACTGTGTGAGAAATAAGCAAAGATGTAAGTACGTTTAATGTCGAATATATAATTAAATAAAGGTATTCATATAAAAAATAATAGTATGAATTTCAGTGAGGAGAATTAAAAGTGAGCCACACATAACATAATATTAATTCAATGAACACTAAATTCCATCAGCACTACAAACTGTAAGCAAATTCCACAAATAATTTTTAATCTTCTTATGCTGGAGATGATAAATACACATATTACTTTATGCTAAGAGTAAAGTAGAATAGCAGACTAATTTGCTTTGCAGTTTGAGAAGAAAATATAATAATGAGATATATTACATATTTTAGAAAGCGGATGGTGTTCAACATACATAAAGTACAGCACTGAAAATAAGATGATCAACCAAATACCACCCCATACATTAATGGTAATTGCAAAGTGCGGCCGTTTTCGTCTTGGTACATAGCGAGCGAATATAACATGCCTATTCAAATCAAACAGAAATCGTACAACAGAATATTAAACAAGCCTCGAACAAACACCATCCACAATCGAAATAATACCTAAATATAACTTATTATGTAACGTAATTGTAATAATATAAAGTAATAATAAAAAAAATGACTACAGACCACTGGCGTACAAATTGATGTAATACGGGTGCGACGTCGTGGGGGCACACATAACCTAGCCGACCGAGAGTAATCGCTACACGCCACGACACGATATACCGAGAACAAAACCAAGAAAACAAATCAACAAACCATCCAAAACATAGTCAAAGTACATAATTCAACAGCAACAAATCAGTGTTATAAATTGAAAAAATGTGAAACAATTTTATGCTAATTATTTATATCAAATCAAATATCAGACATTACAAAAGATGGCCTATGGTATATACAGTAGTTGGGGGGCATAATTACTGAATACAGGTTGTTAGCATATCAAATGTATAGAGGTTCATGCGGTATAAACAACAGCGTGGAAGTATAGACCATCTTTTAACAAGGCGCACACTTCAGTGTCGGCACTACAGACACTCTTATATATAATTTGATATATATGACGCCCCATAAACCAAAACAATAATAATAATAACGAATTAAAAAGCTAAAATTTTAACAACTATTTCATTCCATTAGCGTACCCTTCTGTAGCCAGAAAATAATATTTTGAGAGATTTGGGTTAGACAAACAATAATATTAACATACATGTTATGCGGGTGGGTATGTAGTAATCGAGTACATATAAATAATAACTGAGTATCATTTTATAGTTTTGATGGAATTAAATACAGTGCATAAATGATATCCACCAAATGTAAGGCTTCTGCATTCCATGAAAAAATTCGAGTAAATTATAAACAAGACTATTATAAATGTGACCTAAATTCTATATGAGAAATCAATATGAAGCCGTGACTGCAATATAATAAGTTATCAGCAAAACAATTGTCACCGACATCAAGAAATTTTATATTCAAATTTCTAGCCAGAAACTATTATAATTTGCTTCTGTAACCACAAGAATATAACTAATTGTACTTTTACTTAATTCACTTTGTTGAAATGGTGAGCACATCACTTACCTGTGTTCTCAAGAAGAGTTTTGGGTGTGTTCGGTCTATTGATAATCTCAACTAAATGTTTTAAAACCAGAGGGACATATTTTGATGTTTCTGGACCTGAAATATTTATTATATTAGAACAACCTTATAATGTATAGTATAAAAGTAATCAGGAACTATAAAAATTGCCTAATATGAATGTGACTGTATTGTATTTTTAAATTTGATTAATGTTGATGCTGTCATTTTCTTTGTGGTAACTAAAATAAGACAAAAAATGATAATCTGACAAGTATTTAATTGAATTGGCATTTTGCAACTGCTGCTCTCAGGGCCGTTAGAGATCAAGTGACTTTAAATACCATTACTATGAATGATATTGTGGTCTTCAAGGTGTATCTAAACCATAGCAAAGTTACACTCACAAAGGTTACAATCACTTAATAATTTTTTGTCCAATGACGCGGCTAATGTTTGGGAACAGTTCCGATTTGATGATTTTTGCGCCTAATGCATACATTTGCCATACTAACCGTCGTATTTATAAACAAGTAAACCAGATTACTTCTGCTTATGTAATAACTTGAGCAACTTTTTCTACTTCATACTTAAGAAATTGATCAAGTAAGAACTGTCAAAAATGAGAGTTCTTATAACTCGTGGCAATAAAGACACCAATCGAAAATGCGTGCGAGAGACAGTATGTAGTAGGACATAGTCTCTCTCGCACGTTTCTTAGGAAGCATTTGCGAGAGGGTCAGAATGTCTTAAGTCGTCATCTGCGATTCGTTTTTTTATTGGCGTGAGTTATAATAACCAAGAAATAGTTACCATTTTCGTTGTCAACCATTTGTTTAAGTAAAATAATTCTTACGTCAAATTTCCGGCTAGCACCCATCAATTTGTGCTGGGCCCAGGTGGTGGATTACGGCCCGCCCTCCCTATTCCATCCATAGGGAAGGCCTGTGCCCCACCAGTGGGGACATTAATAGGCTGATGATGACACAATCAGAGAAATAAAATTACAATGAGTGAAAACAGTTCGACTCACCTAGTTTGATGCTAATCTCTCCTATTGCCCATGTAGCATTATTACACACCGAGATAACTTCTGGATTAAGATTCATGGCTAGTATCGGCAAGAATTCCGGTATATAAGGGTGAACGTGCTGGAAACACGCCTTCGTTAAGTCCCCAATCAGCGCGAACGATGACTGACGGACCTGTGAAATTTCCACTGTATAATAATCACAATGATGGGGCACAAATATTAAAATCTAAGGCGCCTTCCTCACCGCGTCGGTGCGGGCTCGTTTCGTTTCAGTACAGATTGTTTATCATAGTAATATAAGTTATTTACGGGATTGTTACCATGTACCTTGTTTTTAGCGAGTTTCCGATATTTCGGCACTGTTGCAAGCGCGTAACGGAGTAACTGAAGTAATTGCGGGTAGGCTAATACCAGGGACATTTTCCATCTAGACACAAACTTAGACACCAGAGACACAGAGTAGATAGACAACCTGTTTATTTGCCATACATCAAAGGAGTGACTGACAAGATCTCAAACATACTGAATAAGTACTCACTAAACACTGTCTTCACTCCTGTGCGAAAGGTTTCACAATACCTACGGTCTCCTATAGACAACTTCCCCTTGGAGAAACCTGGTCTCTATAAGATCGATTGCAGCTGTGGCAGTTCGTACATTGGCCAAACAAAGCGAACAGTATCATGTCGAATGAGGGAACACATAAAAGCAATCAAGAACAACGATACGCAGAAATCAGCCATCGCGGAACATTTGATTGATTGATTCTGGTCCTAACCACTGGATTGAGTTAAACCCACAGATTATCTCGACAGAACGCCACTACATACCAAGATTGGTCAGGGAAGCGATTGAAATAACAAAACATAATTTAAAAAAAAAAAAAAATCAATCGTGAGGACGGCTCGACGGGTTTAAATTGTCGAGTGTCTGGAATCTGTGGTTCGTATGTGTAAAACCGGAAATAATCAAAAAAGTGTCGTGTCGCGATCCGATACTGTAAGTGTTGTGTGTCGAGAACAGTTTCCAGTGAATAGTGAGAATGTGAACAGTGGTACGGGTATCGAACGCAATAAAAGACTTCGTCGGAGGGTAGACCGATATGTTTGCCAATAACAGCCTACCCGCAATTACTTCAGTTACTCCGTGATCATGGCGCTTGCAACAGTGCCGAAATATCGGAAACTCGCTAAAAACAAGGTACATGGTAACAATACCGTAAATAACTTATATTACTATAATGTTAGTGACCATGAAAGTTTAAAACAATAGATTGTTTATCGATTACATGTTATTAAATGAAAGATTCCTCACGTAGTTTCGGTACAGATTCTTGACTGAGTAGTACAGATCCATTCGCCTCATCCGTCCCGTCACTCCAGCAAACAAAATTGTAGCAAACAAAACGAAACGATACCATACCGGAACCAAACCAGTCAAGAAGTGGTTCTCGGTAAAGAATCTGTACAGAATCGGTACAGAAAGGAAAACGAAACGAGCCCGAAACGACCCGGTGAGGAAGGCGCCTAAATCAAGTAAATATTTGTACATCATGATAAAAAATCTTTTAATGGGTTCTCCATCCAAGTAACTTAAGGCTCAATTACTCAATTACTTGGTCGCTAGCCCGAATACGATAGATTAATGGAATTAGGGTAAACGACTAAGTGTAAATGAACGGAGTCGAGTACGCCCGTATTCAGGTAGTTTTCGTTTTGGTTACCCGACACCGTCTTCCAGCCAGTATTCCAGTGCAAACATTGCTTCGGGTAAGCGAATTCTAGTGCAGTCATTGAAGCGTTTTTTTACTGTGAACCGATTTGCATGAAATTTTGGAAATAGGCTCATCTTACCCTTAACTTCAAAAGTGAAAATGATCTGAACTCCGCCTATTATTTTTAAGGGATGTAAACAACAAATAATTTAATTTAGAGTAAAAAATTGCCATTTATTGAATAAAATATTTACTAATTATATAAAATTGTACTATTATTATTAAAATATAATATTATTATTCATGACTCAATTTCGGAGTCGCTGTCACATTCAACATCTTCTGGCTGAATTGGAGGGCTATTTTGGCAGTTATCTCCACTGCACGTTCCACAGGTACTATTACAAAACAGACCAACTTTTCTGCATCCGCAGGACGCTCCACATCCTTTTTTGCAGTTGCAAAAAATCATTTTCAGCAGTTCTTTTGGTGCGGGTGGATCTACAGACTTAAGTGGATTTAATAAACCGTCATTCATGACCCACCCCCAATCCGTTGGATGAATGATGATGATAAAATGATGAAATATATATACATATAAGAATGTTGGTATGTATTCATGCCTACGTTTCCAAAATATATGAGCCATATTATGTATATATATACACATTACAATAGTTGAGTGTCTCTATTATACTGGGTACTTTCACATTGCTCCAAATATTCACACTCCGAAATTTTCAGTTACTAAGTAGAAAAAAATATGATAAGTTTTTGGACCATAACTCCATCAATTTTCATGCTATCACAATTTATGTAAAACCATAGTAAAGGTAATTAAGAGAGCTACAACATCCTTCATTCCAATAAATATTAAAAAAACCTTTTTCTAAAACGGTGAAGGGTTAAAGGGCTTAAGAGAGGCTGTGATTGCGCTGCCACGCGCTCTTTAAACAATCATATCTCCGTCAATTTTATTTTGACAGAAAAAACAAAAAAACCAAATTGTTTGTCAGAAAAATACCAAAATTTTTAATTCGTACACTTTTATACGTATCTGTCGTCATTTTTGAGATATTATATATTATAAAACGTGGGTTTTTTAAAAATTTGAAATTTTGGTTTTTCTTTTAATCGTGACTTTTTTGAAAAATATGTGTCCTGAAGCAGCCAAACTGATACTATCTATCAAACTCTTCATAATAAAGTTAATTCTAGGCGGAATACGATTAATTTTAATTTTGGTATAAATGGCACTTATGAAACCCATTTATTTAAAAGAAAAAACATTAGATGCTCACCTTATTTGCAATACAGCTCACTAATTTTACGTGCAAAAGACTTTTAATAGTACTCATTTTAAAGCTTATTTCAAGCACTACAAAACCCTTTTGTATTAGAATGCATAAAATGCATCTGCTCGCCACTAGATGGCATTGACCACATCGATTAAATTTCAGACAAAATAAAAAACGGCTTTGATCTTTAATATCTAGCTTAATATTGCACTTAGAATACTTTATAAAAACCCAATTTGTTCATTGTTTTACCTGCTACAATTTTGTTTTTTTATAAAATTTTCGATAAAACTTATATTTTTGGAGATATTTGCAAAAAACCGATGAAAAACGGGAAAAAATTTCGAATTTTCAATTGCCAATAACTTGAAAAGTATTGGATTATTTATATAATAGATGATTTTTTGCTTAAAATTAGGCTTTCTATCGATATCCGAGGTTATTTTGAAAAAAAAAATAATTCACCCCCGAGAAGGGGTGGCAACCACCCCCAGGGTGGTTGCGGAGTTCAAATCATTTTCACTTTTGAAGTTAAGGGTAAGATGAACCTAATTCCAAATTTGTATGCAATTCGGTTCACAGTAAAAAAATTCGGAGCAATAATGCTTCAATGACTGCACTATTGAAGTTATGTCTTTCGTGCACCCGAATACGGGCTAACGACCAAGTGTAATTTAGCTGATAATCTCTTTTTATGCCCTCCTAGCGGGTAAGATTAAGTCACTTTTAATAAAAAGGAAAACACTTAAAAACTAAAAATATAATAAAAGAACTTAGGTGTTAAGGAATCTCATGATCAGTACCCCAAGCACGAACAACTAGCGAGAAAGTATTCGAATCGCCATCGTCAAAGTTTCTACGGAAGGCTAGGTCCTTCTGTTCCGTTGTTCCTACCGGTGGGGTCGCTGCTTAGTTTCCATAGAAACATTCTCACACGGATTATTTTACAGTGTACCAAATGGTAAGTAAGTAGCGCGGAACAAAGATTTACGAACTGATGGCACAGCATTTGTCAGTCACAAGAGCTTGTAACAGGCTAGACTAAATAAGAAGAACCTTTTGTACATGAATTCAATAAATAAGTTTGAGTTTGAAAAACGATTGGGTTCAAGTTCATACTTTTGGTTTCATTTAACTGCTAAATTTAAAAAAAGAAAGTTTTACCATAATAAAATTTCTTTAGACTTAGGTTTGGTTTTGAAAAGCTTACCTCTGGCATGGGGTCCTGCATACACTGGTAGAGCAGCTGCATTAGATTTGAGTTCTGAACAAGATGGTCTATGTGTCCATCCAGCCCCTCCGTCAGTCCGCTCAGCAAATCCAGTGCCACAATCATGAAATCTTTGTCTGGTGCCTCGAATTGCTCTGGGCTCTGACTGTTCGCCTTAATGATGAAAAATTTTTGTTTAAAAATTACTATGTTAAAGAATTGTTCTATTTAGGTAAGTGATGGGATGCGATAACAATGCAAGAAATAAATTAAGGCTGTGTTACAGACTGATTAATGCGATAACATAGGTCGTAGTCACTGAAACCTAAAAGATCTATTGTGACTCGCCACCAAGTTACAGTATCTCTTTTAGTCCAACAGCTTCCAAGAAGCTTTGGTCACGCATACATACAACTAATTTCATATATTCAGATAGCGTACCATTGAATGTTTGTCTTTTCCTTATTCTGACACAAGCTTATATTGTTATGTATTTAGAATAAGCAAGTTTACAGTTTTTAAAATGTTGTTAAAAAAATATTAACAAGACTCATTTTGATAAAAGTACTTACTATAGTTTGATTTAGGGTTTGTTCAATCAAAGAGACACATCTTCTGAACACAGGCTCACAGTAAGGTAAGAAACCTGATTGTAGTGCTGAAGCCACTGATGACAGACACTATACAGTAGAAAAAAATATTATATTCAAATTAATTAAAATTATTTACTAAAGTTCAAGTACATTTTTATAACTTGTATAATGATCTATCAGTAATTTAGAAAGAGAAACATGCATTATTCTTTTCACAAAAGGTATAAGCTGACCAAGAGGGGTTATGACTATAACAATATTATTTTCAAGAGGATTTTGTAACTTGACTACATAATACAAATCAATAATTTACATCTAATTCTAAGTCTATTGCTTCTATTTAGTGTGCATCTTTGAAATTAAACATTAATAAAATACATCAAAATGATAAACCTCTAGCAAAGGAAACAGGTCCTTATCTTCATCCTTTAAGACATTCCATTTATTGATCAGGGGTGGCATTAACAGATTTATGTATTCTTCCTTATTTAGATGATGTCCCACTGAGTCTGCCAGTGTGCCAATCGCGTCGTATAATATGAGAAGGTTCTTGTGTTGGTATTTACTGAACGCATACACTAATGTTTGTAGAATGTAACCCAAATAAGGTACTAGTTCAGTACAAGCCTCTTCTTCGAGAGTGGCGAAAGCTGAGCAAGCAGCTTCTTGGACGCGTTTGTTGTTGTCCAAAACACGTTTTAAAAGCTGTAACAAGTTTTGTATTACTTAAACACTACTAATCTTCTGTTATGTCATACAGTCCCCGGCACGTAACTTGGCAAGAGTCATTAGATGCGCACAAGTCGATTTTTAGGTCTCTTTGGTGGCAAAGCGGAACGAGGAGTATGTGGTAGACCAGATACGAGCGCGCGATTGGTGCGTCAGTCGACCCTTGCCTCTCGCACCGCGTCTACGTTCCGTTCGCTCCCGATTACACTGTCTTGCGTGAAAGTAAGTAAGTGTACCCTTTGTTTTTGTCGAGCATTTGATGTATAATGTTTCCTCTCGCTTTCCTGCAATCTGTGGGAGTGATTTCGTGGAATGGGACGGAAGTGTGTAACAGGAAGTCGGCAAGCCCATATTTGATTTGATTTTATGACATAATGTTTAAATGGCTTATTCCTTTTGTAGTAGGTTTTATTTCTTTTTCTAATATAAGGTGAGGTTACAAATGTTACACATCATACGCGACTACTGTAAAGCTCGCTCGTTTTTTTTTAATTAAGTTTTTGTTACGAGTTGTTGCCATTGCTTTAAATTTTGTGTTACATTGATTACAATGCCAGGACCAAATACCGTTTTACGCAGACATGCCAGTAAAATGGTATACGATGTGTACTGTTTCATGGAGAAGGAAGCTCAAACTGAAAAAAATACGGTAAAACGGACTGCAGAAGCTACTAAAACGTCATAAAAAACGACGGGTTGCACTGCGGGAGTGCCGAATTTTGCACGAATTGCTTTAATTATCAGTATAAAAGTACTATCATTTATGTGGTAGAATACAATATTTATTTATTGCGCTATCGTACACAAACATGACAATATATAACATTAAAAAAAAAACTCAGAAAAATCAACTTACATGAATCACATTTAAGCGCACCTAGCGACATCTATTGTAAAAAAAAGCATTTTCTTCGCAATAAAGCTGCCACCTGGACGTCCTCGATAGACTTATTATTATAATACGATAAAATAAAATATAGCTATGTTTCGTCCAATATATTGAAAGTCAAAAACCTTTAAATTTTTATTGTTTTCATCTTACGAATTATCGATCAGGCCACAAAATTTTATTGCTTTCGTCTTACGAATTTTCGAATTGTCAAAAAAACTGTGTACAACGCCGCTAAAGAAGTTTTCACTTCAAAAACAGTTAGACGTATAGTCAAGGAAGGCAGAAATTCCGAATTCCTCACTGTATTTAGGATACCGGGAAAAAAGAGGAATAAAACAAAGCTGGTAGTTGTGGATAAAGGTAAGAACCTGTATCCACAACTACCACATTACAAATAAAGAGCAGTCTAACAAAAATAGTAAAAGATGACATCAATGTTAATGGGTCGGAGCGCAGTCTGCGTAGAATTTTAAATAACTTAGGCTTCCGGTGGAAAAAAGTCATAAACAATAGGAAAATTTTAATTGAACAATTTAATATAAGATTAGGATAGTTACTTAAGACACGGTAATATTATCTATACAGTATTGTGACTCCGCCCTGTCCTTGAAATAAATGCCTACGGCCGAGCGCTGCGTTAGCACGCGGTAGGGCCGCCTACAGTATTTTATGTAGTTTTGTTTTTAACGCGAGTGTAGGTAGATTACTCGTATGTCTCTTTTTTCATCCTAACCACTTATTTTATATTATTCCAGATATTTTGCACGATGGAAAAATCGAAATACCTAAATATTAGAAACAAATTACGTACTAGTAGATAGGTATGTAAAAAATATTCTATAAAGGTAAGACATCTTTCCAATATTTCAGGTAATTTAAAAAATGATATCTCTGGGTGTGTTATTGAAGAGTTCAAGCAACCAAAAACAGCAATTGTGCTGTTGTACGATAATGATCGTCGTTTGTTCTTTTCCATACTAAATTATGTAGGTATCTACTTAATTCAATCAAATATTTACAATACAAAACGCATGTTTAAGCACGGCTAACTGCATAAAAAACAATTCACACCGTTCGGTCGTCGTTGCGGCGCGGCGGCGCATTCGCGACTGGGTGCCCGCCGAGAGCCCTTCGAACTCGAGTGGCGTAGGTATGACTTGCTTTCCGATCGTTTGTATGAAGATAGAATACTGTTATTTAAAGTTTGAACAAAGTCGGAGGACTTCCATGACAATATTTACCATAATTACACAAAGTGGCTTCGCAGCCAACTAATACCGTACCTGCCGCCAAATGCGGTAATAATAAAAGACAACGCATAATATCATAACACGCAGTAAGATAGATAAGATAACCTACCTCGAATGCCAAGAAAGCGGACATGCTGACAGGGGGTTGGCAAATTGTACAAACAACAATACAATAAATACCGTATTGACCATATACTTGCAGAACACAACCATAGTGTTCTGCGATTGCCGCCCTACCATCCGGACTTAAATACTATAGAAATGGCATAGGCGGCAATCAAAGGTAAAATAGAGTATTGACCATATACTTGCAGAACACAACCATAGTGTTCTGCGATTGCCGCCCTACCATCCGGACTTAAATCCTATAGAAATGACATCGGCGGCAATCAAAGATTATGTAGGCAGCAAAAATATTACGTGGAATGTGACCAGTGTAATAGAGCCAGTTTAGGAGAAAGTTGCATTAATGGGTACCGATGAATGGTCGAAATTATGTGAGATAGTTAAAAATATTGAGGCTGACTACCAACGATATTAAATACCCTAGATACAACAACACGAACAAAATCGTGGCCGAAACGTGTCCAATGAGCACATTAGACGGTCCACGGAGCTCCGTAAGATGATCGCGTAGTCAAAAACAATATAAGTCATTATTAAACATTGAAAGTCACCTTCAATGAATACTGTATAAGGTCTTGATTAAAACGCATGCATCAAAGACTTATGACAGTACGAAATGCAAGCTCGTAAAATTTTACAATTTATAACTATATGCGGAAGAATATAGACCTTATTTTTGAAATTACGCGCAATTCTGAATGTGCTTTAAGCAATATAGCAAGTACGGACCCCGGGGAAAAGAGACAGCAATACGGCGACGTATAACCCACCATGCATTTGAATATCACAAATATGTTATATTAAATTACTTTAAAGTATGTGTATAGGAACGTATGTATTAGAACAAAATTTGCTTCAAATGCGTTAAATTAACAAACATTAGATACCTGTCGAAAAAACGACACTTTACGAGCTATAAGTATTTTTTTCGTGTTTTTTACGAAGCTCTGCGGCATCTTAACTTTTTAACGGTCCGCGCGTGTCCGTGAACCAAGAAGTGCTTGAGTGGCGTTCAAGCACTTCTTGACTGGGACACATTTTGAGCGCTCGTGGTATATCTATGGTATTTAATATCGTTGCTGACTACACCAAAAGCGACCATATACTCATAATTACTGAACGTTTTATCATTTACGCAGATGACGACTGCGACTCTTCTAGCGACGTGAGTGAAGATTGTTTTGCCGAGAATGAGCAGCCGTCTCCTTCCACCAGCTCAGGTGGTACTTTTAATTTGATGCCAGGCGTAGCATTTTATTTTAACATTTTTTTTACTTTTAAATGCATATATTTTATTTATAACACCTAATAAACTTCACGAATTTCTCTACTTTCTTTAACGTTCTTCTAAACAGACATGACTAATAATAAATGATGGCAATAACCTTAATAAAAAATAAATAAAATAATGAAAAAAGAATAAAAGTGACTACTTTTTTGTTCCACTAAGTGCACGATGCGAGAAATTGCTCACACTACGCCAAAACATTGCCAAGTCACGTGCCGGGGACTGTACTTCACTTCAAACTGAAAGTGAACTCAATTAATCGACAAACTGATGCTAATCCTTTAGCTATTAACATCACAAAAAATATAAATTATAAAGGTAGTGGCACCAATGACTGACAGGAGCCAGTGACATTTTTTGAAAAGAACAGTGAGCGGCGGAACGGCTGATTGCTCAGTGTGATAACACTGATCTCGGAGTTACCATGTTTGGTTGTCGGTTATTGGTGCCGCTGCCTTAGCTGAACCCGGCAAACTTCGTACCGCGATATTTTTTGTGACTTTTTTATAATTCTCTTTTATGAATCTCTCTTCTTCTTGTCCTGACAATAAATAAATAATTAAACAAAGAAAGAATTTCCCAATTTGATACAGTCGTTGGAATGTAATGTGCGCATACATTTCGAGAATCCATTTTAATTTAAGTAGAAGATTATCTACTTAATCATTTGCAGGACAAATTGACGTGAGCTGTCAATCAATGTGGAAGATGGTGGAATACCAAATTTAATTTATTCGAAAATAGCTCTTGCCCTATAGTCGTAAGCACTGACCTCAGTCATGACGGGGCGCAGGTACAGGTCGTGCGACTGCGCCACGATCCAGTGCGAGTATCGCGACAGGGTCCAGCAGGTGATAGCGCGCACGAGGGCCTTCCGCTCGGCGAGGCAGCACACCAGGTACGGCACCAGGTCGGGCAGGTGCGGCACCATGCCTACCATGCAGCCGTCCGCCACCGCGCCCAAAGCCAGTATACCGCTCTCCTAGTACAATAAAACATATCATGTTAATTACATATTGTTTTAAACTTTCATTGTCACTAACAAGCACTATGATCACCGAGTAACTGAGCTACTTCCGTGATCATGGCGCTGTACATCGAAAACTCGCTTAAACATGGCACATGGTAGCAATCCCGTAAATAACATAATTAATTATTATTATGTACAGCATTTCATTTATTATACATGTGTATTTAGCCCTTATTCTAATCTGTTCCATTATTATTTTTTATGTTCCATAATTAGGATTTTATGCAAAAGTTTAAAAATGTTGGTAGAATACAGTGAGTTTGAAAGGTCTTCTTTAAGAAAACTTCCAAAAAGTTAGTACATTCATAATTTTGTTGTGTTCAAAGTGCCAGATCAAAATGCATGCATAAGTGTTGAATTCATAACCATGTTTGGTGTGAACTCACGGAGCGGATTTTCCTTGCATCCGGCAGTTATATTTCAAATCGCCAAAAGGAAAAGTTCCAACACAAACATACTCTTGTGAGGTTAAGTGATAAAAGACTGAAAAAAGTATGTAAAAAGCAAACCAGTAAACTTATGTAGTGTACCTACTTATTACAAATTGTTATTTTCTATATTTTATTACATGTTTCTATATAATTTATGTTAAAAGTAAAAATTAAAACACTTATTATGAAATACATGTAACAGGGTCTTTAATAATTATGTAATTCAAATTTAATGTGAAAATGTAATGTGTAAAATTGTTAATTATAAAATATATATTTTGGTAGACAAGCGGACAGACATATTTGCATGCGCATAGATATCCTTCTGCGCGGACGCAGGCAGCGGCCGCTTGAATGTAACCGGTCTCAGTGGGCGGGGCCTCCGCACCACTTGTTCCTGCGCGGCCGCGGCAGTCGGATCTTAGCCTCTGTTTTGTATGCTTGTCGCTTGTTCTCTCACTGTACCTAACGATCTCGACATCCGCTTGTTTAACGTTAAGCTAATACTTAGTTATTGCGCTGTACTTTATCTCCGTGCTAACTCATTGTGCACCTTCTACAACTGCATCAAGTGCTTATATATATTTATTAGGATCATATTGTGTAAACAATAAATCGTGAGTACTGTGAACTTTGTTGCACTCATTTTACAACACCCGAGAAACTCACGCATCATCCTATAACTGGTGACCCCTATTGAGCACATTATGAGTAATACGGAGAATACGACCGTTGGTGAACATTTGAATTCGGCAAGCGACGTGAATCGAGTGAGTGTAAGAATACCTGCATTTTACCCAGAAAAGCCGGCGTTGTGGTTTGCACAACTGGAAAGTCAATTTTATTTGGCGAGTATTACGACAGACACTACAAAGTTCCACTACGCGATCAGCCAGCTGGATCCGGTCTACGCGTCAGAGGTGGAAGACATAATATCGGCACCGGCAGGACCCAACAAATACGAGCGTCTAAAAGCGGAGCTGATCAAACGATTGTCTGCGTCGAGGGAGAAAAAGGTGAAGCAGCTCCTAGTTCACGAGGAACTTGGTGACAGGAAACCTTCCCAATTCCTTCGCCACCTCCAACACCTAGCAGGCCCTGATGTCCCAGAGGAATTTCTGAAGACCATCTGGACGAGTCGATTACCCAGCAGCACGCAATCCATTATTGCGTCACAATCAAAGGCGTCCCTGGAAGAAGTAGCGGAGCTGGCGGACAGAGTGCACGACATCGTCCCGCCCAATCCCAAAGTCGCAGCCGCATCGGTTCGACCTGGAAGTTCCACCGAGCTGTCCAGCCAGATTGCGGAACTCACACGGCAGGTCCAGTCGCTGCAGTCTAAGGTCGAGAGGATGTCACGGCCTCGGTCCCGAGGAAGATATACCACCAACAGCCGATCCCGCGAAAATTCTCGGTCTACCCGCTCCCAGTCGAACTATAGGAAATTTCCGTTGTGCTGGTATCATGCCAAATTTGGGAGTAAGGCAAGTAAGTGCGTGAAACCCTGTGATTTTTCGGGAAAAGCTTAGGGCAGACGGTTATGGCGACCGACGCCTGTCCAAATACCGGTCGCTTATTTGTAACGGACGTTCGTACTAAAGTACAATTTTTAGTTGATACTGGCAGTGATATTTGTGTTTTTCCTAGAAAATTAGTCAGCAAGCATAGTCACAAAACCAATTTTGAACTTTGCGCAGCAAACGGTTCAATAATAAATACTTACGGTTACGCAAATTTTGTTTTGAACATAGGCTTGCGCCGTGACTATGCTTGGCGATTTATTATTGCAGACGTAACGCGGGCGATAATAGGTGTTGATTTTCTGTCCCATTATAATTTAATTGTTGACGTTCGGAATAAACGCTTAGTAGATGCTAATACTACGCTTTGCACCTCGGCTTTGCTTGCTAAAACAGCTAATATTTTTTCAGTTAAGGTAGCATCTGGTGATACTAATTATCATCGCATACTAGCTGAGTATCCCGACATCACTCGCCCTTCTGGCTTGCATAACACCACAAAACACAACACCGTACACCACATACGCACAACACCTGGACCGCCTGTAGCTTGCTCACCTCGTCGATTGGCACCTGATCGGCTTAAGATTGCTAAGGCCGAGTTTGAGGCCATGTTGCAGATTGGCACCTGTCGTCCTTCAGAGTCTGCGTGGTCTTCTCCCCCACACCACCGAAGAAAGGCGACGGCTGGCGACCATGCGGTGACTACCGGATGCTGAACGCCAGAACCATCCCGGACAGGTACTCCATCCGACATATCCAGGACTTTGATTACAACCTCTCTGGTTGCACGGTCTTTTCAACCCTGGACCTAATGAAGGCCTATAATCAGGTTCCCATAAACCCCAGCGATATCGAGAAGACCGCTATCACAACGCCGTTCGGCTTATACGAATTTCCGTATATGACATTCGGACTTCGTAATGCCGGACAGACGTTTCAGCGCTTCGTCGATGAGATGCTGCGAGGGCTCGACTTCACCTACGCGTACGTTGACGATATCTTGGTCTACTCAAAAGACCAGAAGACCCACGAAGACCATCTTCGCCAAGTGTTCCACCGGTTGAAACAGTACGGTATGGTCATCAACACTACTAAATGTACGTTCGGCGCCTCTGAGGTTACTTTCCTGGGCTATCACGTGTCTGCTGCTGGTGTCAAACCACCACTAGACAGGGTGACGGCTATTAAGAGCTTTCCCGTCCCCAAAACTGTTAGAGAGTTACGTAGGTTTCTTGGCATGGTGAATTTTTACCGCAGGTTCATCCCCCACGCAGCTCAACATCAGGCACTCTTGAACGCTCTCCTAGTCGGGTCAGTAAAAGGATCCCACCCCGTTCATCTGTCTGCTGCTGAAATGAACGCATTTGAAGCGTGCAAAGACGACTTGTCTCAGGCGACAATGCTGGTGCATCCGGATTGCAAGGAAAAGTTGGCCTTGGTCACGGACGCATCGGATACCGCAATAGGCTAGTTGACACTTCTTGGAAATATGTTTTAAATGGTTAATAATTGTTCAATTAGACCGAAAAAAAATGTATTGTAATTTTTTTTTACCTAGAAAGCTACAAAACTTTAATTTTAAAATAGATTTTTCATGGACATACAAAAACGCTGTCGGCCATTTTAGTCTATAGATTATCTATGATATGACGGGAACAATAGTAAACAAACACTCGCAAGCACGTCGGATATAACCTATCTGAATTTAAATTACAAAACCACGATTTCTAATAGGTTTCATGATAAATATAGTAATTATCATGATTGTATTATACGAGAATTAAAGAAACACATCGTTAAAAAATGGTTGCCTGTAAAGTCGGTTTTACGGGCGAAGATTTTACGTGACAACGTCTTTTTCTCGGTAGAATATTTATTGATATGAATATAATTAAATTGCACAATAGGAACAAGGAATTGAATGAAAATAAGAATTGCACAAATTTTAACTATAGAAATATATTTTGTTTACTAAAACATTGTACATGTAAACTTAAACTCATCGTAACGTTACCGAGCGTTACACTTTTTCATAAGTGACTCCCAGCCGCAACCTAATTTAAGACGTTGTCACGTCAAAAACTCCAGAAATGTTGTAGTTTAAATTTTTAAGGTTAATAATGTACCTGCTAAATCAAAGAGTTTTGTCGTTTCTGCTTTCACAAATCCGGCGTCCAGCATTAATTTAGTTAAGAAAACCAATAAACGGAAACTTTTCTTCAAGATATAAGAGTTTTTAGATATATTTTAGTCGGACGAAAGAAAACACAGTAATGTGACAATGACGTTTAGTTGTTTTGCTATTATGTTGACGTCACAATCATGGTGGACAGCGTTTTTAGTGTTTAAAAAGCATAGACTAAAAAACTATTTTTCAAATTAAATTACTACAGCCATCTTCTAATTTTATGAAGTGAAATCGATGTATTTAGGTTCCTCATACCAAAAATTATAAGAAATAAACATTTGTATAGTGCAATTTGACATGAGTCAACTAGCCTATTGGTGCAGTACTGCAACAGTAGACATGGGCGTTTTTGGTTTTGAACGCAAACGGATATTTATCGGATTTCAGATTTCGAAATCGATTTTAAAATCCGTTTTTAGATATCCGATTTCAGATGTGCCGAACTAAGCCAATTCACTAGTTTGTGATATGATTTGGTTTTATTAGCTAACGACAATCACAAACAATTAATTGTACGAAGCAAGGATACTCGTAGATTTGCGCGATTTTCCTTTATGCTTTAAATCTAGGCTTAGGCAAGAGTATATATTCTGTGGCTTAGGACTAGCAGAAAAGTTATCTTTACGGTTAAGAGTAAAACTTTTGCGGCGCATTTAAAAATCGGCTTATGTTAAATGATTTCTTTTTACATATTTTTTTAGTATTATTTTTGGTTTTTCTGTTTGTTTTTATTATTTTTCAAACCATTTACAAAATCAAACCTAATTACTTCAGGTTAGCGTTCAAAAAAATGTCAGTTGCTCGACTTTT